TTACAATAAACTCATAAAGTACATCATTCTGATTGAAGCTAAGGGCATACAAAACTGTCTAACATTTTCCTATGCATACAGAGTCTGAGTTTTAGACAATGAAATCTAAACCAGTGCATAACTGTATATATGGAATATATATTTGCTTTCCCTTTGTCCCACGCAAGTCCCTAACCGGCACAAATATGAATTTAAAACTTTGAAAAATACAAATGAACATAATATCAAGAACTACAGAGTCTACAGACAAACTAGTCCCGGTTATTTAAGAAAAACAGGAAGGAAAAATGCGACATTTATTACTTGTGGCAAAACAGTAGCTGGCCTCAAGTTTGCAAAGACCCCAAGTCCCGCCCGAAGCTGAAGCAAACCCGTTTCTGGCTTCAAATGTTTCTCATTATTGTCCCACTTATATCTACCAAAAAAAATCAAATTCGTGGGAAATTTATAATAAAACTTAATTTAAAATATTAAAACAAATATAAAACTAATAAACTCAAGGAACAACAACTGAGAAAAGAAAAATTCACCCTCCAATTGCTCCGAGAAGAACTGCATCAGATTGCTTAGCTACCGAAAGTGTTTCTTCCGGCAAGGGAACCCCAGTCAAGTCTAGCGCAGCTCCACCTACAGGCATCTCCTGAAACCTAAACTCGATTCCTGGAAAAATTAACACTCTAATAAGTTGATACTACACCTTCTGAAACTCTAAAACCCTAAACCCCAATTAAACATGGAAAGAAAAAATGAACATCAATAGAAGAAGAAGCTTCATTGTACCTTCTTGGGATCCTGCGAGCTTAAGGACGTCTTTGGCGACGGAGATGACCTCGGGACCAATGCCGTCGCCGGGAAGCAGAGTAATGTTGTAGCGTTTGTGTGTTGAGGTCACAGAGCACTGAATCCTTCCGCATTTTGGAAGGCAAGAAGGTCTGGAAGGAACTATGGCCCTGAACGGCCTCACATTGAACTGGAGAGAAGCCATGGATCGACTCCGCCGTGTCAATAGCTAGAAACTTCGACATCAGTTTTATTACAGGCTCTAGGGCGTTGTCAGTGATGTCGACGGGATCTCCTGAACCAAAATTTGTGTACAAATCCTGAGAGCACAGCATCCATCCGCACATACAGAATATCTTCCCATGAACTTCACACACGAGTTCGGGAGATATCCCCGATGGGCGGAAAGATGCTGTGCTTTAAGTTTGTACACGATTCCTTATTTCAGCAGAATAGAAAAACAGAAAAATTATATATTTTGCATGATGTGATTACATGGCATAATTTATAATGCTCTTTCTACGGATGATTTGTAATTTTTATATGATATATGTACGGGGTGGAGTTGAAAATAAAAACTGATTTATAAAAACTAGATTTGATGCTTATTTCAGTTTTAGAAGGTTAACCGCAAATTCGATTTCTGAGGTGGAGGGATCGGTAAAAATCCCCAATTTCAATGTGTCTTGAACGAGTACGGATCTCTGCGCACGAGAATAGAGGATTAGATCTTCTCCTTGTGTGGTGGTGTTCACTCGACCTATATTTTTGCCCTCTTTTTATTGATAAAATATAAGGATCTGTTTGATTATTGAGAAAATTGGACTGAGAAAGGATGGGATAAGAAATGTTGGGATGAGAAGAGGAAAATTTATTTTCTCATTTAGTTATAATGTATTTATTTGCTGAGAAAATTTTTGTTAGAAAATCCACTTTCTAGTGTTTGTTTTTTAAGAAAATTTATAGGAGAAAATGGCTGAACTTTCGGTCATTGAGAGAAAAACATGGGGTTGGGGAAAAAAGAATATAATAGTAAGAGTCTTCTATCAAACTAAAAGAGTAGGATGATCTTATTTTCTAGATATTGTTAAAGATTTGTTCAATCCTTTCGGTTGAGGATTTAACAACATTTTCAACGTCTGGACTTGCGGAATATCCTTCACCAACGACACCTTTTTTCCAGATAAGAGTCCGTCGATGCCTTTTTCTCTGATCGCTGTGAAGGCGCTCTTCACCAACGATGCCATCGCATGGCGGGCTGTGGTAGAGGCGTCGTCGTAGAAAAACGCGGCGGCGTGGGACGTGGGCGACCGACCTTACGCCATCGCATGGCGGGCTGTGTCGAGACCCTCTTCTCTTTGCTTTTGATTTTGGGAAGGTCGGTCGCCCACGTCCGCGTCCGCGTCTGACGGCAATTGGGAGGAGTAAGGTCAGTCTCCCTCTTCTGTTATGCTCTGCAATGGTGATTTAGGGTCGGGACGCGGGCGTGGTGCGTTAGGGTCTCGGCGGAGGGCGTGGAGTGGGGGTTCAATATAGAGGCGGCGCTTCTGGTGGCAACGCTCAGCAGCAGCCTCCTCCGCTGAGGAGTAGGCGAATGAGCGAACAAAGAGGAGGTTATGGTTGGGATGCTGGAGGAGGATGTGGTGATGATCGGCGACAGTGGTGGAGAGAGAGAGAGGAGATGATCGACTTCTTGCTCTAATAAAGCCCGAGCAATTTTCTTAGCGTTTTCTTTTCTCACCGAGGTCGCACTGTTTTGGTGCGATCCCACTCACTTAATTTTGGGATCCCGCATCCCTCTTGTTTCTCATCCAAAAACACTGTTTACCAACAAACAAACACAAGAAAGGGATAATCATTTAGGAATATTCCCTTTTCTCATCCCTTTCTCAATAAACAAACAAAGCCTTAGGTTAGAGATGGTGTTCTATAACATGAATGTTTTGCTTATTAAATTTCACTAATTTCTAATGAAAGAATTTCACTAATTAAATATATAGCCCATAATTTTAATGATATAAAAGCTTATGTTTTTAAAATATCATAGAAATCAAACCATATTTTAATCTGTGTGGTAAGCTAGCGTTTCTACCAATAATGTCATCTTGTCACTAACCAAGATGGTAAGAAGATTTCAATCTTAGTATTAAGGTTAAAAGGCAATACATCCACTAATACACCATACTTCAATAACTTATCTTTATCACTTGGGATTTGATAAGAATATCAAAATTATTATTATTATTATTATTATTATTATTATTATTATTATTACCATTGTTAATATCATCATACTATAAATTGCTAATGTATAGTAGTAGTTGTAATGAATAAAATTGAACATCAACACAATGATCGTGATATTTATAGAAAATTGGCCAATGAAATTTCCACATGCATCATTAATTGATATGATGTTGCATCATCAATTGATATAATGATGTTACATCACCATAATCACTCTACTAAAGGTTTTATATTTTCAGATTTTCACTTGATTAAAAGTGTTTGGTTCCTTCATTAATTAATGTTACATTATTAATTGTCACTTTTTAGTTTATATTATTCCTCTCACTACGGGCTATATTTAAGATATTAACTCCTAATCTCTTTAATAAATCCTATATTTAAAGATTTTTGTTTATATTATTCCCTTTTTTAGGTCATGTTCATTTTTTTAATGCCTCTTATTGTTTATATACTTTTAAGAGGTATCAAAAGTGTCTAGTTCCCATTTTATTTTCAGCCATAATATGCACCACATTATGTACAATAACAATAATGCTCACTTTTGTTTTCCAAAAATACCTCAAAAGGTTATTCCTTTTGTTTATGCTCTAATGGCCCACAACAACAACAATAATACTAACAATAACAATAAAAAAAATAATAATGATAATTTATTACTCTTATTATTATTATTCTTAGTATTACTACTACTATTATTATTTTATTAATTATGTATGTATTATTTAATTATTTAATAATTTATTATTTTGATTAATTAATTAATTAATGATTATCAATTTTAATAATAATAATTAATAATTATTACTAATAATTAGTAATAATTATTAATTATTACTAATAATTAATAATAACTAATAATAATTAATTATTACTAATAATTATTAATTATTACAACAACAACAACGATAACAACAACAACGACAACAACGCCAACAATGCCAACAATGACAACAACAACAACAATGACAACAACGCCAACAACGACGATGACAACAACGACAACAACGCCAACAACAACAACAACAACAACAACAATAATAATAATAATAATGATTTATTAATCTTATTATTATTATTCTTAGTATTACTGTTACTATTGTTATTTTATTAATTATGTATGTATTATTTAATTATTTAATAATTTATTATTTTGATTAATTAATTAATACATGATTTATCAACTATTATTAATAATATTAATATAAACAATTAATTATTGATTAATAATAATTATTAATTACTACTAATAATTAAATTAATTACATTATTAATAATTATTTAATTATTTATTTTGAATATTAAATAAATAAATAAATAATGTTCATTTTCTTAAAAATATATATTAAATTATAATTTTTATTAATTCCATTATTTATTTATTATTTTATATTTATTTATTTATCGTTAATTAGTTTGTTATGTAATTAAGCAATTTATCTCATTTTTAGGGTTAAAATGGTCAATTGTCATTTTTCAGAACTCAACATTTAGATTTTAGAATAACATTCTTTACATTGAGACTTTAGAACTAAGAAAAGCTCAAATTCTAATGCACCTCCAAGGTAATTTTTACAATTTTAAAAGCATTTAGATGTCAAACTTCGATGCAGCAGACATGCCCTTAGTAGGGGGTGGTCTTAGTTTAGAATCTATAATTTGAAAAAAACTTCTAGAAAGTGTCACTTTAGTTCACCATTAATGGGCACTACAATGGGTAAGAAAATTATCAATCTTCCCTTTGCTTCGTCTTTTTCTTTTTCTTTCTTTTTCTCTTTTCTTCTTCTTCTTCTTCTTCTTCTTCTTCTTCTTCTATGTCCATTAACAAACAAAAATTTCACTGATGGGAGACAAGTCTACATCCTTAATGGCTAGAATTTAATTATTGATGTTGTTGTATATCACTTAAATGTCAAACTCTACAAAATCAATGGCAAGCTTTTTGACAATCTTAAAGGAAAGAATTGAGTTTTCTTTTATGACTTGCATTCTCCGGTTGAACCAGTGCAAAATGTTTATGGTACATCCTCTTTGTCTAGTGACAATAAATTTTGGCATGTAAGGCTGGTGACAAAAGGTGGTTTGTACTTTGAGGTCTAAGGTATTGGATAGAAGGCTAAACAGAAAAGGGGGAAGAAAGGGGAGAAAAGAAAGTGGCCAGACCCCTAGAGGGGCTGCTTACATAGCCTCCAACGAGGGGTCAAGCCAATATAGTTCATCAGGATTGGAATTCCAGTGAGAAAAGGGAGAAAATGGTGGATAGCTACATAGGAAAGTGAGAAAAGACTGATATGAATGAGGGAGGGAGAGAGGAAATGGGCTAGCCTAAGGATGACCAAGCAAGAGTAGTTTTCAAGCCCCCTTGAAATGGATGAAAATCACCTATTTATAGTTTTTGGGTGCACATCTAGAAGTTTCTTAAGTTGTGTTTTCCCCATTTTCCCTCCTATTCTAGAATGTTCTTTACACACATTTAAAACATATAGTTAAATATCTTTCTAAAATCATCTTATTAATTGTCATTTCCATATTTATCCCTTTTGTTATTTAAATCACATGTTTATTTCCTTGCTTAGCTGAATTTATTTCTAGAATGTTCATTTATTATGCACGTGTTTATTCTTATCCAATAATGCTTTATTCGTTTCTAGAACATTCATGCATTAATTTTGTTATTGTGTTGAAATATTCAACGCTTATATTTAATCAATAAAATAGGCTGAATTGACTCGGGTTTGGTTGGCAACCTGAGAAAAGGAAATTTTAGAAGAGAAAATGATAGATAAAATAATCAATAAAAGGAAAGCAAAATAATTTAAAACTCCTAGAGCAAAAAAAAAAAAAAAACTCCCTTTTCTCTTTAGAGCTTGAGAAATGTGGCTCAAGCACTGTCATTACCTAAAAGAAAAGGAGACTTTAGATGTAATTAAAGAGCAAGCAATGGATAATAATAAATAAAAGGAAAGGAAAATTCAAAATTGCTAGAGCAAAAAAAAA